ACGCCTACAAGATCCTATTCCATGTTTTAAACTGCACATTTGCATTAATTTTTTAGCCTGAATTTCATCCGATTACTTCGAGTCGTTATTACTCCCTCAGTAATGTTCGTTGTTGAGAGGAGAAAAAGACTGGAAGCAATCGGATGAATTTCAGGCTATTCATTATTCAGTTCAAAGAAAAGTACTTACATATATTCAAGGGCAGTTTCATCAACAAGAACTTCCCTGCTAAATATATATCTACGCTTGAAAAAGAGTGGTTCGGCTTTTTAAGCCATTATTGTTAACTTTATTTTAGAAAGCAATACAAGAATTAGTACTACTAATTTATTTCGCTTGAGGTAAAAAATTAGTATTTTAGTTGAGTTTAGCGCCACTGGAGAATGGTTAATAGCCATTCAAAAATTTCAACGATTTCTGTTGGCATATAAATAGAAAGTTGTTCAAATTAGACCTAGGGAGAAGATCTAAATAAAGTTTGTTTAGAGGAGATATTTGATCTTAATGAAATAATATCAGATGATAAATTAAGCCGATTTAAGATCGACGTCACACTTTGTAACAAATTAAGATTTTCAAGACGTGAATTAACGCATGACCAGACTCACTTAATAACACCCAGTGAGTTTTGCGCATTTTGCTCAGAAACCCCAAATATTTTACTAAACTCACGTCGTTGTTTTTTGTTGTAAAAATGTAATCAAATAGCAGTCAAAGTCAAATTGTAGGGTAAGAAGATTTAAAATAAATAAATACACTTTGCAAACTAGTCAGTTTTGAGTTCAATGCGTTATCCTTTGCTCAGTTAAAAAAAACGTTTGCGAATGATAGCTTTAATGCAACGGTATTTTTTGCACCTTTCGTGGCTGTAAGTGATTTAAGTGGATCCCACCATAGGCTATTGATGACACTCACTAGAAGAACCCCATTGGAACCGGCCAAATGCTCTTCTTTAAAAGGGTGTCCGATTTATGGAGATTCACACAAAAGACCAAAGTTCGGACAAGGACGGACTCTGTATCCGTTTATAGAAGGCGTCCGTTCAATAAAGACATCTATTAGAAGAGAGCTGTCGGTAGTTATAAGCTGCGCAAAAGTCTTTGTTTTACGAAACACAGATTTTCTCTGTGTGTGTGTACGCGCGACCTTGAACTAACGAAATACGCTGGAGTTTCTTGAACTTTCAGAGGTTCCTGTCATGCGCAGACAGTCGTATAAGTCGTATTAAAGTGGGACTCCGAGAGCAAGTTCTACTTTTTTTGTAACTAGCAAAACCTGACAATTTATCTTTTTTAATTGCCTGTCGAGGAGAAAATTGGCAAGCTTTCAACTTTTCATGCGTAGGGTTTCACTTACAACGAAAACTAGTCGTGACAAGGGAGCTCCTTTCTCGCGAAATAGAGGCTTTAACTGCAGAGCTAAAATCCTTAGTGAGCTATACAAAGTTCAGTGCTTCAAAGTGCTTACCAAAAGCTGTGCCGGAATCTTATAATTCCTACCTTAAAAGGCTATTAAGACTCTATTAAGCCTTTCAAAATCGAAAAAAGGGATTTTTACTGATGCAAAGCTTGTGAAGCAAAATTCACCGATATTTATTTAACCTTTAAGAATTTCGTGCGAAAGAAAAGTCTCATTCGTAGTGACACTTTCTAAATTCTAGTTTCAATATATCTAAACAGAAATGTCCGGTAGAAAGCAGTATTTTTTAATGACTGGAGACATTTACATGGAATGAGCAATATTTTATGCAATCTCTCAAGTGAGAGAATGCTCAGTGAAACGCACTTAAGTTATTTTTTTCAATCAAAGCACTGGCTCTGTGTTCGACTGCCTGGTAAATTTTGATTCAAGTGCTTTTATTTGTTGTGATCAGCCATTTATTGCTTTAAATTTTGTGTGTTTTCTATGTTGCCGTGCATAAGAGTGATTTTTGTCGCACGCCGCAGCGAATATCGCTGATTTATGACAAGTCTGAAATGGTTGGGAAGGTCAAAGACGAAAATTAGCCAATTGGAACGCTTACTTTAAAGGTCCGATATATTTGATTCAGGAACAACTCTAGATAATGTCTCGTGCATCATGTTACGCAACTTTTTCTCGTGATCGACACTTCTTAATTGCGCGATAAAGCCTAAGCTTACTCTGGTTTTACTTGAAGTAAAGCTAATTCAAAGTATTTTTCATGAAGAGCCCGTCATGCTTCGCTAAAAGGAAACCTCCAGAACGATGTTTGAGTGCAAGACTTTTATGCCGGCAGTCGGTATCTCTGTTCTCAAGCGCACTTGAACTGAAAGTCTTTTAGCGAAAAATGCACTTAAGGAGTGAAGCTGTTTTTAAAAATGTTTATCATCCGTAGCTGAGAGGCAAAATATCACTCGTTTACGCACTCTTGTAATTCAGTACTCAAATATCTCGTCTATTTTTGTAGGCCCACATTTAAAGCTAGACGTCACTTGAAATCAAGATTTAAGAGTTAGACTCTTTTAAGTATCTAAACAAACAACGACTGATACATTCTGAGCGGTGTGTTGAGTGAACCAGTCAAGAATCAAGATCGTTTAACTTAAGGGGATCGAGGGAAAACTGAACACACAAGTAAGCATTTACTCAGTCATAGTATGCGTTACATTGTAAAAACAAAAGACACCACGTCAAGTCTGGTGCTTCGATTTGTTAAATTCTTGTAACTATTTACACGATGTGGTAGTTCAGTTTGTTGTTGCAATCTGAAACATTTACAACCTATATCCCTGCAACATGTGAAGATCGTAGTTGAAGTGTAATGGCAATTTTGCTAGTGATTGTAAAGGGAATTTTATGCTTGAATTCTGGTTGCCAAATAGCCAGATCGTTTAAAAGCATTATGTTTCCGGTCTCCCTATCAAGTCAACTCGACGAAGTGTAAGCTCAGACACCATACATACTGACTAAGACTTCCATACTTGCCTAAGTTCACATCGACAGTCCGGCAATACGTTTCAGGTCAACTGACGTTGTACTATTGTTGAATTATTTCGCTCCCATGTTGGCCAACGCTGGCCCCGGACTGCCATATGGTATTTCTATTGGTCGAACGGTAGGGTACTATTGACTGCAGTTTAACGCTATAATTGCAACATTGTAGGCTAAAAAATGTTTTGTCAGGACATCTACCTTGCCTTCTAGTTGCGGTGAAGCCGAAGCCAAATTGTCACTAGATATCCGTCGCTTTTCGATAGCTGTATAAAACGAAACTTAATATTTAAGCGGCGTCGGCCGCTGTGGATCGGAACATTCTGGTTACCGCAATTTGTAGCACTTATGTTTTGATGGATCAATACTGCTTTCTGTTGTAAACATTCCAGCATTTCAAGGTTATGATGGGCTTCCCTTGGAACCAACTGTTTATCTGCGTCGTCAGTGGGCGGGGCGGGGCAGGGGAGGGATTTCTTGCATTCTTTATCGGTGAGAAAGTACGCTCCTGGAATCCTTATTTTGTTGGGAAAGGGGGTTTTGGCAGAGTTTAACCAACAAAAGATTGTTGCACGCTCATAAAATGAAAGACCATCTAGTTCGCATGCTCTGTAGAGTCTCAAGAGAAGTTGGATTCAATAAATTATAAGCCACACAAGAAAAGACTCATCGCTGCCATCCAAGACTTTCCATGTTTCTCGGCTGACAGCACGTGATCTCCACGAAAAATGAAGCCGAGTACTGTTTTTAAAAACAGCGAAGCCTGAGAATAGAGTGGAGGCTCTCTCACCAGTACCAGACCTCTTGTTACTAGAAAAGACTGCAAGAAGTCGTCTGTTCAAGTAGAGTTTTCTAGATGATGCAAGGTGACGATGCATAGTCATTAAGTGTAAAGTTCATTGCTTGAAACTCGCCTCATTTTGCCGAGTAGGACAAGTAGTACTCGAGGCTCAAAAACATACAAACTGAAGGTCTTCCAAGATAAAATTATGACAAAATTATACCCCGAGAATTACACGTCAAAACGGCAGCCATTGACTATAACCAGTTCATGCTACCTCAAAATCTCTAAACAACGCCTTAAAAAGCAACTGCAAAAGCTTCTCTTGCACTGGGATCGAAAATATTTAAGCAATTCTGTGTGTTCATTTACCACGCGTTCTTTTGAGTTTGAAATGGATCGGCGGAATAAAACCCAAACCTAGGGCAAATCTTTGCCAGAATTTGTGAGTAGACATCAACTAAACAAAAGCAAGGGACGAAAAGGCAATGTAGGCTGATTCAGCGCTTCTTACTGCGAAAATCGGCACCCGGGATCCGCCTGACTCGAAGGCTCGATGCAAATGATTTCAACGCAGCTCCATTCGATAATTCGCCCTATGATACCTTGTGGGTTGTGTCCAACCTCCTCTGCCTCATCCCTGTGCATTGTAGGACACCTCGTTCTGATGTGAATGCTTTCCTTGATCAATCTTTGGGAGGAATAAGACGACTGCGAGGCGTCCAGAAAGTCAACAGTAAAACGATGTTGTTGTTGTTTTTTTGGGGGGCTGGGGCGATATTTAAAGAACTATCTTAATTTATTTGACCTTTCCTAGTCCTTTTTTTAGCATTGGTTTGTTAGATCAGAGAATAATAAACAATTATTACATTCGGTTTTTGTGATATCCTAAATAATCAAGGTCGAGGTAAATGTTATCCGCCGAGCCGAGGGCCGAGGCTGATAACACTTGCCGAGACCTTGATTATTTAGGATATCACAAAAACCGAATGTAATAATTGTTTTATTATACATTGTTTTGAAGAAAATAACGACAAAAACACCGTCGCAAGGAACCTGAAATGATATTGTTATTGTAAATCATGCATTGCGCGCGCAACTTACCGTATTAGTCAGTTATCTGCTAGCAGATAACTAACTTATCTGTAGGTTGCGTTGATTTCCAAAATTAGCTGTAGGCTGTTGGCCAAGGAGAAGACAGATAGTGAGTACAATGTATAATAATTAAAATTATGTTTTATTTCCCTTCCTCAGATTTTATCCAACCATGAAACCAAGACGGTCCGCTCTCGTCTTAATTTTCATTACGCTTGTACTGTTAGAAACCAGCAAAGCTAAGCCTAGAGGGAAAGGCAAAGGCTTCGGTTATCTAACCTTCTCAGAACAAGACCAGCTATCTTTGCCGTGTAAGGCGGAAGAATTTGATCAAACCATTCAGGAAAAGGGCTGCGAAGCCAAAGTCATTCAGAACAAGATTTGCATTGGGCAATGCTTCTCATATTATGCTCCCGGTACCCGCCCAAGAAAGGATTTGACCGATAAGAGGGTTAAGTACTGTGATACTTGTAAACCTTCACTGAGGAGCTGGACCAAAGTCAGCTTGAATTGTCCTGGTGCAAAACATCCCCATGTTGACAAACTGGTGGAGGTGATCTACGATTGCACGTGTCAAAAGTGTGTCAGAGAATCAAAATCAAAGCATAGGAAAAACCGTAAAAAACGTTAAGTCAGACCTTGTGCTTTGACTGATGGAGTAACAAAAGTAATTCGCATTGCTTTCATTTTCATTATTGACTTAAAAACAAGTTTTACATTACCTACTTGTCCTCCTTGTAATTACGTTTGACATTTGGGTCGGGAAGGGGATTAGGTGGGCCGGGGGCATACTGTTAACAAATACGTCTTACGTTGGGGGCTTAGCCCCGAGGACCAAACCCTTCCCTTGTAAATTAAAATAATTCTTAAAGAACCGGCAATTCCTTTCATACACTTTCCAATGAGTACGTAACCTATTTTTCACACGTTAACAGACAATACAAGGACTTACCGACTAAGCTTTTACTTAAGTAACCAATCGATTGGATGACGGAATCAGCCGTTAGGTGTGTTTGTTCAACATTTTTGAAATTCGTGTGTTAAATATCTTATTTAAAAAAAGTTTTTTATCCCCATTCTTTATTCTTCATCTCATAAAATCCCTTCTCTTTGATATGTCTACGGCCTTAAAAAGGTAACCGTTGTGAGCGGAGCCCACCGATAAAGTTACCCCTGGGGTATAATTAAAAGGACTTCTGTGACTCTCCCGCTAGGCTTAAAGGAAACGATTGCAACGCAGGCTACTGTATATAGAAAGTATAGAGCTTATTAAGTAACGATTATGAAAATTTTGACGCAGTGTCTTCCCTTCTTAGTTGCTCTAGTTTTTAGTTCTGGGGTAACTTATACTTTCAATGAACTTTATGGTAAGAAGGTCCCTAATAGGGTTGTTCAATCCCGTCTTTCCGAACCAAATTTTCGTGCAATCGCGTTATCCCGATGATTATTTTTGATGTCCCGGCTCACATACATACTTTGAACCCCGAATCCCGACCCGATTTTGCTTTCAAATCACGAATTTCGAATTCCAAGTGAGAGAAATCCCGGATCCCGATAACCTCTATTGTGGACCACTGGTAAAGCGCATTGAAAGTACAAGAATTCATACCTGGGGGGAATTCTCATATGAAAGGAGCGGGTATGCTCGTCGGAAATTTTGAACTAACCCCCTAAAGGAGACCAATCTGGGCGTGGCCCAACCTGTTTTTAACCCCTAAAAGAGACCATTTTAAACTTTGATTACATGAATAGAGTAAATAAAACGAGTTGAAAAAAATTATATTTTTGTATATTCCTTCGCGTGCATCCCTAAAAGAGGCCTTTACGGCTAAATATAGAGGCGTTTTTCCCAGAACACCCCAAGTGAGACCAAAATCCGAAATTTACACCCCTAAGCCAGACGACGAGCATCCCCGCCCCTTTCATATGGGAGTCCCCCTCGGGAATTCATATTCATGTATCACTTAACATAACTGATGTTTATTTTTATTGGTGAGAACACCAACTACACAGACAGGTTGTATATATGCTATGTCCTCTAGTTATACAGCATTGAAACTTTATCAATACTCATGTTTTGGAATGAAATAAATTAGCATAATTAGCTATAATTAGTTTCAATGGCAACAGCGGGCTGTCCATTCAATGAGTAAAACAATTTCTTCCTAGACATGACAAATGTTAGAGGCTTTGCTTTTATAATAATGTTTTCTCTTTAGAATTATTTATATGCAGCTTAAGTAATGATCCAGGTAAGAAGGAAAGCAATTTCTATTGTTGTGGCGCAATACGCTTTCCTCACATAGAAATGTTTTCATTTTTACGCAGAGAGTGCATAAATCTACAAAAAGGCTGTTTACGAAAGAAAATGTATTTAAACTCCACTTTTAAAGGGTGTATTTTTGTGTTAAAACATTTCGACCAATCACAAGAGTTGCAAACAATGGCCAAGAAATGTTCACAATTTTACATGATCCGCACATACGATTTCTGTGTTACTTAGACTCAGACGAGATTTTGTTATAAGGAAGTTGGATAGAAAAGAAAGGATTGATGTACATGCTGCTTTGCGAAGATTTCGTAAAATTTGATGTTTAAACCAATCAGAACCTTAGTAGAGACAATAGTAAAGTTAGCACCTTTTTGCATTCCGACGTGTTCACTGCGTTTTGGTCCTTTCCTTCTTATCTGGACCATTACTTAATAAAGGTCATATAACTATATCTCATATCATAATTTTTCCGAAAAAATTTAACATCAACAAGCACTGCACTGTTGCAGGGACGGTACAGCACGTATTTGGCGACGGCGTATATTCTAGTATCGGCGGTAACGGTTGGTGTTTCAGTTTCAACCATAGTGATTGATAGTCCCAAGTGTACATTGCCTTTCCTCAAATCTCGTGCCACGCCCTTCTTTCCAGGAAGAATTTCTCGACTACGCGGAGCTAGACGGGTTGCTACTTGGGTACATATTGTTTCTTTTAACTGTGGCCGGATTTTTTCGCTAGTTTCTCAGCCGTTTTTGCATCCATCGAACAGACAGGACAGAAGCGGTGAAAAATTCTTTGGCTAACGAGGACGACTTATCTGCAGACCTGCCGAGCCCTGATAAAGGAAAATCTGGAGACTCATGAAAAAAAAATCGGGAGATTCTACAAAAAGTAGTGAGATTCTGTATTTTTTTCCCGATCAATATTAAACGGACTGACTTTTCCCATTGGATTAATTAACTGTTTATGCCAACTCCTATGTTCTGCAGCATATTCGTTTGCTGTCCTTAAGTTTGCAGGTAATGTCAATTGATTACTTATTTTGAGGCCGTAGGTCTTTTATAGATCCGATATGCTGTTCATTTTTTTGTGGTTTTGCCCAATTTTCTACGTCCATCCTATACTTTCTTTGCAAGACATCAACACGACACTTAGACTCCTGCCCTCTCGCAGACACGTGATATGGTTTGATTCTGTGAGTGCTGGGGTTCAATAAAAAGTGAGCGGGTAATTTTCAGCAGAGCTTCTCTGTGTAATAAGTCGCTTTGACGGGCCACAGTAATGGCGAAACAGCTGTCTACGGCTTCTAACCCAGTTCTGTTTTGGGTTATTTCGGTGTCCTGTTGATGCCCGATCTTTTAAAGTTAATTTTCATGTAGTTGTTGTGCATTCGAGTTCGAAGTACTACTATACATTACAAACTGAATCAGGCCAAGTGCTTTACACAACTGCTTCATTACAACTAAATCAACTATTCATATGTACAGAAGTTGCGGTTCCACTAACCCCTTTGCCCAAAGGAAAGTAGGATTTTACCCAAGGGAAATCAGTGTTTGTGTGTAACCTCTCTTCCCACAGTGGAACTGCCCTTGGGAAATCACTATGGATACTTCAAAGAAAACAAAAGAATTACCCATGACATTCCGAGAACCAAGTAGAAGGGTTTACCGTATTCATTCGATTAACCGCCCTGGGCGCTTATCAAATTTTTGGACCTCGAGAGTGGGCGCTTAGTCGAGGTGGGCGCTTATTAAGTTTTCACCATTTTCAGCAAGTGTAGTATGTTTATTTTGCAACAAAACAATAAATGGTAATAACGAAACGCGAAGATGTAACAAAGCAAGGTTTCTGTAAACTACCCCTGCTCTGAAGAAAGCTCCGTCTTCGGGAAGTCTCTTTATATTAGTACTTACCGTATTCAATTTCAATCTCATTGTCACCCAAGTGAGTAGGTTGGGGGTGGGCGCTTATTCGAGGCTGGGCGTTTATTAACTGACTTTATGTTTTTCACATTCCACTCCCCGTGTTGGGCTATTTTTCGTAGAAAAAGGAAACCTAAAATTTTCGGATTCAAAAATGTAACAGAGAGAGGGAAGTAGAAAAATTCTCACTTTCGTGAACCCTTGTAATTTCGAAAAGAGTCAAGTTCCCCTGCAGAAATTGAGACCAAGAAATTTCCCAGAAAAAAAAGATATTTTCTCTCGGTATAGTTCTGGCCCTGAGGAAGACTAATTTTGTTAGCCGAAATATTAGCCTATAATAAATCAGCCCTTTGCCGTAGTGCCAGCCCTGCATTCAGTTTAGTTTTATTATACACTTTAAGTGACGTCTGGCTACAGCATCTCTTCCCATCTCTTTAATTAGAGATCCGGCAAGAGGAACCAGTCAGTTATATTTACGCGTTCCGTGGACATCTGCATTCAAACAGTTTTTCCTATTTTTTTTTTAAAAAATAATTACTGGTTATCTAATGATTATCGCATTCCGCGGATAACAATAGTACAGAAACACTACGGTAGTACGATCAGCTTTGCAGAATTTAATTCAGTCTACTTTGTATATTTTCAAGTTTGCTGATCAGGTATTCTCCAGATCCTACGTTCTTGAACTTCATTAAAGATCATTTGTTAGTCTTTCAGTTTCTTCTTTCAAATCCGAAGCAAGCGCTCTTTGACTGCATTTCTAGTACAGCAATAATCTCTAACACCCCCCTCCGAGTTTGAATGTGTTTTGGTTCAGCATTCCCTAAGTCAATCTTTTCATCGGAAACTGTTTCCGCATGGTCCTTTTAGTTTCACAGAGATCCTGTTTCTGTGAAACTCACAAAACCGTAGACTACGAGTACAGTCGACTCTCTCTTAACGGACACCTCTATAAGACGGACACCTAGAGTTGGTCCCTGCCTTTCTTTACTCCTTTTATTTGACTCTCTATAAGACGGACATCTCTCTTAGTGCCGGTCCCAAAGGTGTCTGTCTTAGAGAGAGTTGACTGTAGTCCCCCATTTTTCCTCAGGGATAGTAGAGCGAGCGAAACGCAAGCGCGCGTGAAAATCACCCCACGCGAGAAAAGGCGACAAACGGCGGGGAGAGAGAAAAATGATCATTTTTTCTCTCCCCGCCGTGTGTCGTCTTTTCTCAGGTGGGGTGATTTTCACGCGCGCTTGCGTTTCGCTCGCTCTACTATCCCTAAGGAAAGGTGGGGGACTACTCGTAGTCTAACAAAACCGTGGACACCAGAAATATTTATGGAATTTTATTGTTTTGCGAGAAATAAGCCAATAAGGCGCGAGATAGCTAAACCGCAAACAGCAACGGCAATTATTTCAAGGTTTGTGGTTTTGAAGTTTGCTCGCGTGTCCTGAACTTTATTAGTCTCGCTTGCGTAAGGGTAGTTCCTTATATAGGCTATATAGGTATGTGCCGCGCTAAAGGGTATGTTTTTTTAGCCGTTTCGGTCTGAAATAGGGTCCCAATTTCGACCATTTTGCGGGTCTCAAATAGATTGTATGATTTGTGCACTGTAGTCTTGAATTGGGTATGATTTTTAGAATAACTAGCTACTTCTTCATCATTTGGCGATAAGACCATTTCCATTTTAATGTTTATTTACTTATCAATGTAAAGCCGGCGGGGGGGTGTGAGGGGGGAGGTAGGGAATGGGGTGGGGATTTGACATTTTTCAAAAATTTGCCGTCAAATTCCCTGCCCACGGGCAAATCATTCCAGTCAAATGCAACCAAATTTTCCCACCCCGGGCTGCACATTGCTATCAAATATCGCAAGGCCGAAACCAAGAAAGGCACAATGAAAATATCTCCAAATAAAACTCTGCAATCTTTATTTATAAACGTTGCTGCATCACCAAAGATACATGTTCCTGTTACAGCTGCAATTGTACGTTTTAACCATAATCCGTGTTACACTGCGTAGAATACAGAAACCTTTCAGGAGAAGTCCACATTTTGTAAGTTTAAATATGCCATTCTTAGTAAAGGGTACAAAGAAAGTCAGTTTTACAAGCTTTATACAGTGATTGTAGCGAATGAGCCATACACACTGATCAATTGTACTTTCAAGAATCGACTTGGTTTCTCTTTACTATACTTCCGTTTACTTTGATACCACAGTATCTTAATAAGAGGTTCAATTGATCAAAAACACGCTAAAACAAACGAAATTTGAAGACAAAACAGTGAAATCCACTCAGTTTTCACTTGTTCTCGTTGGCCTCTATGATTTCCAGATCCGCAGACCGTACGGCGCATGCGTGAAGCGTGGAAGCGGGAAACATTTCTTCGGTCTCAGTCTTTTTTGTCCGAGTCGGCAGTCAAATATCTCCACGTTGGGCGAAGAAAGATTCAAATATCCCCTCCCCTGGGAGAACAAGATCAGTGAAACAAAGGGCCAACAAAGACAATCAAATCCCCACCACATGCCCTGCCCCCCCGCCGGCATGACATTGATAGGTGCATTACGCCAACTACCGTGTACGTGCCGTAACAGCTTGTCACACGCGCCGGGCTCCAGGGCTTCAGGTCTGAAATAGGGTATCAAATTTTTGATCAGGTCTGAAATAGGGTAAGGAAAATCACAGATTTTGGTCTGAAATAGGGTAAGGGTTTCAAGAGGCGTGCTGCACGCCCCCTCCCAATTTTTTTGGAAGAACCTCCCGGAATTTTTGGTTGTAAATTTAGGACACAAAAGGCAGGTCATTGTGTCAGGCGTTCCTTGCAGAGACTGTGGAAACTAAGACTAAGAATCGTTGCGTGATCGGCGCCACGCATGTTTTGCGAACAAAGCTTAGGAAAGATTAGCAAAATTGCGATGGTCGGGTGATGTAAACTTTCACTGTATGGAAATGAGTCTTAATTGTGATAAGCAAGCGATTTATTTTCGGCGATGATTGAAATGACGTGCCATGTAAATCACTTTTTCGATATCTGGCAATGATGTAGTTTCTCTGGAATCGAGGCCCTTGAACGTGTTGAATGTTCGTGTATTTATTTTTGGTCGTCGCTAACACGCCTACTAATTCAATTCAGAAACAAATAAAAAGTACCGACGTCGATTAAGTAGGAAGTAAAAAACCTCTAGCGAGTAAAACATGTTTCTTGTAGAATTAATCGCCTCCTCATCTCTCGATCTAATCTCCAAGCAGGCGAGACTAACTACCGCTGTAAGCGCGTTCTTGTTGTCAGGGGCACCCAACGACAATTTTCGGAAAAATATCTGTTCGGAAGACGATTTGAGATCTAGAATTTTCGGAACATTTGTTGTAAAATTTCTTGCTTGCCTGCCTCTCCTAGGATTCTCGAACATCTAAAAAATGGTATAATTGCCTATTTTTAAGGGATTTTTACCCTAAAAAGGTCACCTAGAACTTTCAGGAGCCTTTTTTCTGGCTGAAATTTTCGAAAAGTTAAGTTTTGATCACTATAATTTTCGGATCACTAGACTTTCAGCTAGGAAATCCGAACAGATGAAAGATTTTTAGGGGATAAAAATATGCCTATATCTACCGTTTAAATACTAAAATATGTTTAACAATTCTATGTTTAAGTGGTTTTGAACTATATTCTCGTTGGGTGCCCCTGTTGTTGTGATTAGCCAGTACAGAATCAACATTCCTGAAATTTTTCAGGTGTTCACGGTTTTCTGAGTTTGACTGTAATTCTGCCTTTTCTTTTATTTGTTATTTTATTCCTACGTTACTCTCTGATCAATGTAGTATAAAAAAACCGAACTGCAGTCCGGAGTCCGCAGTCACCGTCCATGTTTTAGGGAATCGCGGGGAACGGTTACCGGGAGATTCCCGCATATTTTTCGCGACATGTCCATCCTGGTAAGCCTGTGCTTTCAAACAGTCCCACAAGTTCTTGCGCCCCAAGAGAAGCACGTGATGTTTCTTGACCACTAGTAATGAGCAATGGCTATTGCACCATCTAAAAGCGGGATTTTAAGTGAAATTTATGTCCTGATTTTGACGCCGCAGAGCACGATTGTTTCATTCGTTGTCGTTAAAAAATGATTGGTGAAAACTACGACAATGCTACTGATCTTCAGCCAAAACATCACCTCTGCGTCATTAGTGGGATTGCAAAAGCTGATAGCAGTGGTAGTGTGATTTATGGTATGAATTTGAGCAAAGACAGAGAAGATGAACGCATCGAAGGCCAACCGTTTCTACTCCACCAGGAGAACGGCCGATACATTTGGCCTAACGAAAGAATTGCCGCTGAAAAACTTAAGCAGAGATCTATTGTGAAGTATCAGGTGTTCGGAGATATTTTTACATATGTTGAACGTACTAAACGGTCTATGGTAAGTTTGATTCCACTATGATTCATCTGTCAAAATATCTGGGGTCATCCTCGATGAAAAAACCTGTGAAGTTTTCCTAAATTGTTGGATGACACAAAGTAAAAAGGGGTGCAAAAAATATAAATGATATTCCTTGGCTCTAGTGTGTTGACTTCTCACTGGCTTCTTTGTATTACTTGTTTTACATCTTTTGTGAGTTTCACAGATGTTTACTCCGAGTATGTATCGAAAGGTGAGAAAAATGATGCGAACGTTTTCCCGACCCCCCCAATCACCCCCGCGCGCTCTTGTGGAAATTCCCACCCCGAGCCAAGCATGGATAATAGATCCATCGGCCAAGGTAGGGATTTCACTTTGACTTTAACTGATAAGTGCAGTACAGTTCAACCTCTCTACAACGGTCATGTTGAGGACAAAAGAGTGGCCATTAGCAGAGGTTCGACTGCATTGCTTTAATATTTCTTACCATATATCTGATATATAAGTTCCAACTGAGGTGATCGAGAGAGCATGCCTGTCTCTCCTCTCTCCCCTTCCCTCATTTATATTTTTTGCACCCCTTTTTACTTTGTGCCATCCAAACTATTTGAACACCTGGAACAGGCTAATACGTTTGTTACAACTTTTACTTCAAAGTTAATTGTAAAGGAAATTTTAATATGAATGTTATTGATTGGGGACTACATGTATGAAAAAAACGTAGCTCAAAAATCTGGGATTTTTCAACATGTTAAGGACTTTATTACTCAATGTTTCTATCTTTATTTTTTACAGAAATTAATGCAAATTCAAATGGCACTGGATTATGGTGAGAATGTGTTTAAAAGCATAAAAGAAGTGCATCCTGATGTCTGTTTAGGCAAACTAAAAGGAATGTACCTGGAAAGAAAACCTGAAAATGCTAAGCCTTTTCTGGTCAGCCTAAAGTCGGGGTTTATAAAGAATGAACGGATTTATTTTCGGACAAAAGGAGATGACCATCTTATAGATTTGAAGCTCAATTGTCGAGAGAACCTAACATTATCCACAGCACGTGTTGATCTTCAAATAAGGAAGTTACAGGACGATGGTGATGTGGGAGATCTCGCGTTGATAAAATTTGGAACAACGGATGTCTCTCTGAGGCAGCCTATCTACCCTGCTGTGTGCGAGGCCTTGATTTTAAGTAAGTTTTTCATCTTGTTTATTGTATACTGCACTGATCGTATTTTGTTTTAGTAATAATTCTTAATTACCACCCCAAGGGTGGTGAAAAGTAAGTTTTAGACTTTCAGGAGTTTCAATAAGCAATGACGACTGATGAAATGTGTCAGTTATTTTGCTCAGCGAAGTCAGCTACCCCGAAAGAAGAGGCAACTAGTGCCTACAATGTCGTAAACAAAAAACATGTCATAAAATCTTAATAAAAACGTAAAGGCCCACTGGTTTTGATTTATGCTTTAGTTGTGCAAATGCTGTATTTCAGTCAATTCTTCACACCTCTCTATGGAGGTTTACACAGAATTTGCTCTCACTCAAATGTACGTTTGTTCATTGTAAGTTGTGTGGCTGATAAATAATATTGGAACCTGAATGAAAGTTACATTTTCTTAAATGAACAAGATGCCCAAAGTCGTTCCCATAGGATGCATTGGTCTATGGAAGCATAATGGCGTTCTATCTGAATTTGGAAAAATTAGTGAAATTGGAAAGATGTTTCATGTTATGAGTATCAATGAGTAGGTTACCTGTGTGGGTTGGTTTAATGTGCTTATGACTGAATTTATAGTTGTCAGTGGTCACAAGGATGGAGTTTACCTTGTTCTGATCTATCGCCATGTAGTTATTTTCGTTGCGTGATTTGGATAAGAAAAAGAAGCCAGTGATTTTTGCATCAAAACAAGGCTTACCCGTGTACCTTAAATTGGAATGTTCATGGAAACAAGTAATTAATGGAGAACATAATGCTTTTATTAACCTAACAGGAACTTAATATGTATAAAGATACGTCATGTCTTGGTAGTAAGTCACCACAGGTAACTTTTTCAAAGAGAAATAAACATTGCAGTTTTAGGTTAATGGAACAAAACAAAACATCCGCTTGCTCTATCCAAGGTTACAAAGTTCGATGAAGTTTGATAATCCAAGATGAAAGTTTAATATTCCAAGACGTTCTTGATCCGGTTAAAAATTAATTGCAATGTGTTTCCAAGGTCTCAAAGTTAACACAGTTTGTATGTGTAATCAAATGGTGACGAGTGAAATTATTGGGATTTGGACAAAATGCAAGTGAAATTATTCCCTAATTTCACGAGTATACCATTTGATTACCTATTAATATCATGGGTGACGAATTACATTAGCAATCTTGGATTTTTGAAATGTTTATCCTGGATTGTATCGATCAAGAACTTCACTCTCTCAAATGTTTAGACCTTAAATTTGGCTTATAAAGTTCAGAATTTTTCAGACTTTTTCGGCAAAATACCTGTAAGAATCCTTCTTGATGTTCTCTTGTGTGTTCAGGTTTTCTAAACCATCTTTTTGTGCCCTGACATCTTCATTCACGGCATTTTAAAACTTTGTCGCCATCTTGACACTGAGACGTACGGAAGGGTTGCCATGGCAATTTTGTAATTTCACATGTGAAATTACAAATTAACGCTGAAATTTCGCGCCAAAAATAAGGAGTAATTCATCACCTATGATATTACAGTGGTTATCCATGATTCCAAGGTACGGTATAACAAATTCTCTAAGGTCCAGATCCGTGTCCCATCCAGAAGTCTAATCCATGTCAAAAGCAAGTCGTCAAACGACGAAGACAATATTTTTGCAATTTCACCGCCAATCGTCAAGGGTACGAGTTGAAATTTATGCGATTTAACCTCCCATCATCAAGGTGTTTTCAATAAGAAAAGAAAAAACTGAACTCTAGCTCTGCTCAGCCAAAAATGGCAAACTCCGACTAGAAAAATCTATCCGAAATCACGTCCCTCCAACCAGACGCTACTAAAACCTTTAGACTTTAGAAATTTAGACCTAAACAAAAAAGAATCATGAAGGGAAAAAACCCAAAATAAAAAAATAGTAATTCGGCCTAGGTCGCCTCCCTTGACTTGCCAGTATTCCGAAGGATTTTACTGGTTAACAAACCATCCTAAACCCCGAGTGGGAAAACTGACAAACGACAAATTTGACAAGGATGTTCTCAAACGTTCTTCAGAGGAAGCAAATCGATTAAAAATCGATAAAGATTTTGTACAATCCCACTGGTCGCCTTGGAAGAAGAAATAATCGTTAAAGATTTTACGAAATCCTGTTGGCTGGCTTTGCAATTTGTTTGTACAATGAAAAACAAACCAAACCGGATTTTTACCGTGGTGTGCCACAGGCATGCCACGGAAAAATGCACACTTTTGTACTCAATTTAGTCCCCAGAACGTTGGAAATCGCATTTTAGGGCTTTGAAATTTCAAAATTTTCTGAGGGAGCATGCCCCCAGACCCCCCTTGAGGCACAGGTTTACTGGCCTCTTGTCAATACAGTCGGGTACTCTATTCAAACCTGCTGGCTACTTCAGTTATTATTGAAACCCCTGGACTTTTTTTTCTAACTATATAAGGTAAACACTCAGGGAAACCATGACACCGTATACTGCTTGTGATCTTGTCGGTTTTACAGTGATGGATTTTTTATCCAACTGTATGAAAGTACTGCTATGGCTTTAGCTTGCTCTTTTGTTTTTTTCCTTTCAAAGTTTATATGGTCATAAAAGGTGAAATCTGACATGAGCTACCTTAACCTTTCAAATGCGTTTGGCAGTTTTGATACTTTTTACAACCCTTAATTTACAAGCTCTAAATCTCTGCAAAACAGCTTGCTTATTATTAAACAAATTACAGCTGTAGCTTGTAAAAGGCACAAAGATATTTTTCTCACACTTTTTCTCATAGTTACATCTGCCTAATAACAGGCTTTAAGAATTAATTAATAAAAAAGCTTCACCTTCCTTGCAAGTCCTAACTAGGGCACATTACTGGTTTGGCAAATCACAACGTCTTTTGCATGTAATTTTACAGTAGTTGTTCTGTTTGTTTGATCATCATTACATCAAGAACAAAAACCAATCATCTTTTCCTGATTAGTTGTTAACAGTCTATCCAATAAGATTTATGGTTTGTTACCTAAAAAGTGCAACAGGCCAACTTATAATTATTTAAGGAGACAGAAGATTTTCAACCTACACAAAACTAAAACAAAGAGATTTGCATACACTTTTATCAACAAGAGTAGCTCTATGGCAATGTATTTTTGACTTGCAGTTTACATTTTAAAATTTTTAATTATTACATAGTGATTCGTAATGTATTATATTTTCTCTTTTTTCTTAGCTTAAGATATTTTTAGATTTGTAAAGTTCGCAATTCACTTTGTTCTGCAAAGTGAAACCCAGTCTATCTATCTCTATCTCTAAGATTTCATCGTACTATTTTTTATTCAGAATTCAAGCCAAATGTAATATCTACTGATGAAGAAGAGGTGGAGATAAAGATTGGGGAAGAACAGAGTGTAATTGTGCCTGGAGTCGTGAAGTTCGACACAGGTAATGATGGACCAACCACCATGTCGCGTGTCCTTATGGAAAAACTAGGTCTTGAACCAGATCGAAGCAAAAAGTTACGCGCGGGCCCTGGAATAGGAGGTAACTTCGTGGACTGCTTCAAGGTGAAGATCTGTCTTTACATCAGAAAGCGTTGGTGGGAAGTTGATGCTTTTGTTGGTGCTGGTGCCTTGGACCCAGTTGCACCTGGGACTGACCTGTTGATTGGGGAGGACATAATAAGTCATCTTGTTGAAGAAGGTTTCTCCATTGGACATTAGAATGGCTTTAGTTGTGATGCCAACCCTACATGAACAACTATCAAATACATGTAGCATTCCTCTGAAAGTAAAATGGATTAGATTAATATGTATAGTTATCAGTTAACTTTCACTTTGAAGGATTTATAATCATCACAAGCTTTTTGTTTTTTGGTTTGGTGTTTAGCTTGTAACAATAATCCTTAAGCAGCATTTTAAACCAGTTACAGCAGCATTGTATGTAGCTAAATGTAATTTAGGCAAAGTTAACCTCGAAGCAATGCTGGTCAGCAGTTTCCCCAGCTATAGTTGGGGTGGCCCGATGCCTCTAGCAGGGACACCTCGTGACTTATATACGCAGTTGCTTGCTTGCAGTTCTTCGCAAAGTGTTGTTGCAATTGCTTGTTGTTTGCGTGCCAGTTTGTGCTTTGGTTTTTCCCATCCCTCCCTCCCTCTTGGTGGGGGCTAGGTAAGTATTGGGTCGGTAAGTATTCCACTGAATTGTTCAGTGTGACGGTTCCTGGTGGGGGCCGCTCGCAGGGTTGCCATGGATACCTCCTCTTCATGCTAGAGCATTGCCCGGCTCCACCAACTCTGTAGGCACCAACGCCCAAGCTCATCTATTGGTGATGAGTTTAAGTAACATTTCTACCACTTTCCTGAAACAAGAGGCTGATTTCTTTAATTGATACAGTCAAACCTGTCAGCACCTACTGAATTACACTAGCTGCCACAATTTGGTGCTTGTTTTTAAAAGAAGCCATTGTACAATGTAGTTCTTGAAATGGTAAAACTGTCTTGTTCTCGATGGCATTGGGTGGTTGGCTGTATAAGATATCCTAATTCAGCCTTTCGTTTTGAAAAATTGGTTAAATTTAATTAAGAAATTAAAGAAAGTAAAAATGAATGTATTTCAATAATTGTTATTGCTTTGAATAGTGGGTAGTTGTAAGGGTTGATGGCTATCATTTTTTAAAAGGGAAAAACTTTTTCCTTGTCACATACATCTTGGAATGTGATGTACAGAATAAATTTACATTGTAGATTTTAATATAAATGTATTGTCAATATTCTTATTAATTCCAATGCTAAAGTGATTTTACTTGAACTGTGAAACAGATACTAACAAATAGTGCAAAATAGCAAGAGTTAAACGAAAGAATACAGTGGAACTAGTGCATAATACTGCATAGCATATCACTACCTATTTCACGATTCAAGTAAAATCACTCTATATAAAATGAAAATATAGTAAATATTATTATTTTATATTTTTTTATTTATTTTGTTTGATGTTTGTAATTTAAAATTGTGCAGAATTCTTTGTCACCATAATGTAGTCAGATTAGTACAACTACACAAAAAATACAGTTATTTGTTATAATAATGATATTGTGACCTAATTAAACAATAGTTTTATTAAAATTTTATTAACTTTTGTCATGGCAGAAGGAATTAGACAGAATAATAATAGAATCGATCTTATGTGAATCTTTTTTAATAAATTTATCAATCCAATGAGTAAAATATAGGTATTGTAGATTTGGATTGTAGTTACACTGCAATTCC